TCAGTCCAACACACGGCAAATATTATGTCAATGATACTAGTTACCGCATTTGTTAGCCCCTTTCAGGGTCAGCAAACGTGATACCATGCTTGACATTTTGCTGTGGCAAGATAGAGCAAAAACAATTCCAAAAAGACACAACAAATTAGCGCAGGGAACATACCGGACTTCACAGGGGTATTCTCAAATCCCGAGAAGAGTAGAAGTTCCTGCATGTCAAAGTAGCAAATATCAGAATGACACCCATTGCATTATAAAATGAAACCGTTTCCACAAACACTAATAACATCTCACCTCTTCTGTACGTTGCGGAACATGGTTAGCAAGGTCTGCAAAACAAAAGAGTAGTAGCAATGTAAAACAGCACGCCACAGGTGGCAAGATGACAAGATCAACGATGGCTATTTCTTGAACCTCACAATGCAACTCCGACCAATATCAAACAATGGATTATAACCATGGATGAAGTTTACAGGGATAAAACATTCATGCACCTGTTCCAGGAAAGCTTGGCTTTAGACTGAGAGTTAAATCAAGGAAACAATCATCAGGTTCTGTGCTGAAATCCCACAGGTTCAGTTCCAATCTTGGATGCGCTTCTGTTAAAGTTGTAGAAAGACCTCAGTCCAAATATGTACAAAAAGTTAAAGATATGTCATGAACATAGTTTCCGTAAAAAGACTCACTAGGTTCTTCTGTTTTTGCATGGGAAGCATCATGGACAGGTCTTGGTACCCAGTTGCTCACCTAGAAAACTCACAAGAGTCAGGCACACTCATGGAACAAAAAGGTACCCAAATTACAACTCAACGAGTAAATCAGTACATTAAAGAAGGGATGTTGTAATGCTTGCTCAGCAGTTGGCCTCCTTCGTGGATCCCAGGAACAAAGTTGCTTTCAAAACAAAGCAAAATGGTACCCATGTTAATATTGAGAATTGCCAATGGACAAATAAAGTAAAGCAACAAAACATAGATATATCTACAGCATAAAAGGTGTGGAATTAGTACTTGGATAAACCCAGAACTTTGTTTTATATCCAAACAGCATAGAAGCAGTCTATAGATGTACCTGGATCAAGTCAATTGCTTCCAAAGAAGCATTAGGTATAAGCTCCCATAAGTTTCTTGGAGGAATCTGTCAGAAAGGAAAAACAATCAAGCCAAGGGACTGGAAACATTTAATCCAATGACTCCAGATGGAACTCAATTTCACCTGAAAAAACTTAAAGCTACATGAACGAGGCAGGTTCATTCCCTCTGGCCAGATAGTGCAATCTGGGGTCCCAAGCACAGTGCATATTTTGTAAAGCTGATCTGTCTCACTGTTAAAAAAAAATAAGCAATGTAAAATCACACAAAATCAATGGTAAAAATATTGCAAATGTTGTTTAAATGTTTCAGTGCACGCTTTATTAACTTATAAGCTCTAATACTTCAACGGCATGAAACATATAAGGTTGCCTGTATACATGTACGAAGTAAGGCATCAGCCAAACACAGTTGCAGATGTGAGGCCTTTATATTAAAGTTTAAAATAGTAGGCATAGCATAGCAGACAGTGTAGAGTGAGGTTCCAGGCTAGTGGTGAGCTATATATACCCATTAAGACAAAACACAAATATACTTGTGCATTAGAAGTTTTAGTTCAGCAGAACTAAAGTTGATTACTGAAAATAAAACATTATAACCTATCACCTATAGTGCAAAAACTAAAGTTCACATCAGCATAACAAAACAGGTAGCATACATGCGCTAAACAAGTATCATACATGCGCTAAACAGGTATCATACATGCGCTAAACAGGTATCATACAAGCGCTAAGGCCCTGTTAAAATTAATACATGATAACTGCTGAAGCAATATAGTGATCGTCCACAAAAATCATCACTGCAATATTACCTTTCACCAGGAAAAAGAGGGGACAGTGTAAAAAGCTCAGCCAAAATAGCACCAACCGCCCACATGTCTGCAAAAGCGCACAGCTATTAATGGTGATATCACAAGCTAAAAGCCACAAAGAGAAAAGTTATGCATTTCAAGAAAAAAGAACACGTTATTGTTTGCTCATTGTTGAGTTGGTACTATGTGGTGTACTGATGTTTGGATATAATCATAGTATGAGAAGCTATAAAGTATGACAAACTAATGGCTTGCAGAGTACAACAAATCTTTTTCTAGCGACCTTTTGCAGCATAAGAAGAATCATTTCCATGCATTATATGTAGTGGTATTGGAAATAGAGTAGGCTATACATAACAAGAAAGTAAAAGGTTAATAGCACACCAAAAGGCAGGACAAGGGCACCAGGAAATTACCAATAGCAGGTGTATAAGCTGAAGATTGCAGTAGAACCTCTGGAGCCCGATACCTAAAGAATATAGATGATCTTGAGGCTTTAGTTGCATAAAATATTGTTTTATATATAAACAAATTTCAAATTTCATACACGAACTCACCATCTGGTGGAAACATAATCAGTGTAAGGAGGATTGGAAGATACTTCTCTAGCCAACCCAAAGTCAGCAATTTTAACAATACCATTTGTCACCAACAAATTCTCTAAGCAAATAGATGGGGGAAAAAACTAATTATTTTAACAGGAACAAAGACAAGATAATTCCAATGTAATATCAAGAAGCCACATTACCAGGTTTCAAATCACGGTGGAAATACCCGTTATTATGCATATATGCAAGACCTTGCAGTATTTGGACCATAAAGTTTCGTATACCCCCTTCAGGGAAAGGAACTTGCCTTTCCCTTATGACATCATATAAATTACACTCCTGAAAAGAAAAATCAGCTGACATTTCAGCAAGGGACAAACTACATAAAGAACATTTAGATGCAAGTAAGAAAGCAGCCTAGGAAAACCCAATGGTTCATCTGAAAGAAGTATACACCTCTCACTAAGTGAGCATAATACATCACAAATATAAGGAAATAGTAGTGGTTCACTCATTTAATGAAGAAACATAGGTGAACTGATTTTGTGGCTAATATAACCCAAAGTACAATGACAATTTAGTACGTTTAGTGTCGTTCTCATGTTAACAATAAAAAAAATCGACATCTCAGTAATGTGTGCCTTAGGGAATAGCATGGTAAATTAGTTTTTTCTCTCTCTTCCTTTTATTTATAACAAAAATATGGTAAAAAAAACATGCCAGAAGTAGCAAGGAACAAACCATGTGTTCAAAGATGAAGAACAGCTCATGATTTTCCATCGTCACCTCCTTCAGCTTCACAATGTTAGGGTGAATTAGTTTCTGAAGAGCCTGCAGAAGGATAGTTCTTTGTTAAGAAAACAAAGTTGCAAGACAGTATCTTCTGAATACGTATGTGATTTCATCCAGTTTGACAAAACAGAATGTACCTTCACTTCTCGAAGACTAACGCATTCTTCCCATTGGAAAAACTTTCTCTTCATTTTTTTAACGGCAACCTGGATGGAGCAAAGAGAACAAGTTAGCTGGTGTAAATACTGTAGGTGCCAGCTAACTTTCATAAAAACAGCTCTTTAGTGAAATAGCAAAATGGGTATAATATGCTATTGCTGAAATTGAGCCGGTAAAATAATGCATACACGATAGGGTACATAAATTCTTGTAAGAACAATGCTAGAAAGGTTTCTATTTGATATACTGAATATGACAGCAAAATGTTTCAATAGGTGAGTCATTGCACTTACAATTTCATTAGTTTCTACATTATAAGCCATAAAAACATTCCCACAGGTTCCATCACCTATCTCCCGTAACAGTTTGTACCTGCAAGAAATAGAAAGTCAAATTAAAATTAACCTTTCAGACCATCTAAAGTAAAATGTGAAAAGAGCAATTACTACTTACCTTTCCATGATTATTAACGTAACCAAAGAGCGTTTGCCAAGAATCACTGAGAACAAATAGAACTCCGCAGCAAAGATCCCTCGACGCCTTCAAAACTCATCGCAGCCACCTCAAAACTAGGCCCACCTATATACGGTTGCATCAGAAGAAGGAAGTTCCACTCGAGGGTATAGCAGCATGAATGATTAAGCATCATTATGTGCACAACCGTCATGCTTTATTGCAGCTTGAGCAAGCTTCAGCGGCAGATCGTCATCGCTGATACATGTTGGCTGACACCATCATTGGCCAGAAAAAAGAGCAGATAGGTTTCAGACCAAAGCATTTTTATCCTAACGTGCATGGAAAAATCTGCAATGGAAGAGTAAAGGAAATCTTTGCTTCAATACTTGGTACTGAACATAATATTACCCTCCACACAGGAACTAAGTAAACAAACCAAGGGGACACAGGAACTAAGTAAACAAACCATGAGGACCATATGGATCGGTTTCTCATTTCGTGCACTGAAAAGTAGTTCTACCGTGCAAAACAAAGCCTAACAGCCTATAAAGGACCTATGGAAACAGGTCATTTTCCACAATCAATTCAATTGCAAGTATACTTCGACAGAAACGGCAATCAACTTGGTGTACTTTGCCCTTATTAACCGTATACCCTGAGTGAGTTTCAATTGCATGGTAAAACAAGATTTAAAAGGTCCGGTTAAGATCCAAATCGATAAAGTGGAGGAGAAAGGATAGAAGCATGTGCAATTTACACGATCGTCTCCGTGTCTACATGCGGCGAAGTACCAAGCACGTGAACAACGCAAAAGGTGATCGAACAGTAACAGCTATCAAACAAAGTAAAGAAAAAAAAGTGGTGACTCATGCGTACTTACAAGAGTACAAACGAACCAAACGCGTCACGGACCGGCCGGCCGTGCGGCTACAAGGCGCGGAGATCTTCTTCTTCCACTCTAGAAGATTCGAATCCGCGACGAACCGGCGCCGCGATTCGCTAACAGATAAGAACACCGGACCGTCACACGACGTAATTGGTTGAGATAGATAAAATGTCTGGAGAGCACGTGGGGGAAAATTGTCGTGGGTGAAATGCGGGGTCCTGATTCGATTGCTTGAGATAGGGGCTACCTAACGGGGAATGGCGGTGCGATTGAACCCCGAGGAAAAATGGAGGGCAATCGAACCCGCAATTGGCACTCCGGGCTTGCACCGAGCAGAGCAAATTCACAACGCGCCGGGCGAGCACACCGCACACCCGTTCCGGGACGAAATTGCCAGGACTAACCCGATGTCCTCGCGGCGAGGAAACGAAAAACGGCAGGGCAGAGCAGGACGAGGAGCAATCCAACGACACGAACAGAGGGAGGCAGGAAAGGGCATCCTTACCGGGGAAGGAGGAACCCGATCCCGGCCCAGAGGAGTCTCCGCTGCCCGGCGGCGAGGTGGAGAGGGAGCCAGTCGGCGAGGTAGGGGTGGGGATCGCGGGGGCGATATTTTGGACGGGGCGACGCCGCGAGAAATTGGGGGAGGGCAAAAGGAGGGAGACGAGACGAGACGAGAAGATATGGTCGGCGAGGCGCAGGTGGGGACGGGCGCGGGCCTAGATTACCGCGGTGCCCCCGGGGGTCGGGGCCGAATTACGCCGGGGGCCGGGAGGGTTGTGGCTGGCGATGGCGCGAGTGGATAAGCGCGGGGAGGGTAGGCTCGTCATTTCGGGGACGCTCCCGCGGGGCAGGGGCCGCGTAACGGCGTCGGGCTCCCGCGCTGCTGCCGCTAGGTACAACCACCGTGGTACGCCTAACTTTTCGCTTGCTGGTTGCTGCTGCCAAAGGGGAAAGGGGAAACAGTAGCAGGTTTGAAAACTTGACCCGGTACGCCTCCCGTTGGACTCTTCGCCTTCACACCACACCACACCGCTGCTGGTTTCTGTGAGCGTCCGGGCGTGTTCCTTTCGCGACCTGTAGTCTGACAAGAACGCATAAACCAGGCATATCCTCTGCATGACCGCATAGATAGAGGATTATGTGCCGATCCAACAGTTTTATCAGATTCCGAGGTTCTAAAAATCTATGAGTTAAAATTTCTATAAAATCTAGCGGTTTGGATGGAAATTTAGAATTGTGAGATTTTTTCTATCCGGATTCTCAAAATCCAGAGTATCCAAATGAGGCGTTACACATGGTCAAGATTCGAGAAGCAAATTTCTACCCGTTATGGCATGTAATAATCTTTTATTTAGATTATTTATAAACTGCGCTTTTTAAATAGCATCTACAAGGTAACTAGGATATATCCAAATCCCTTCCCGTTTTGCTACACAGATCAAAGTTGGGTTGTTTGAAAGTCGAATGAAATGTTTGGAGAAAGGATCAGGTAGTCAGGGAGCAGGGGCACGTTTGGGTGGTAGAAACTCCGTAGCAATTTTATTATGTATTTGTATATTTATATTATACTCTGATTTAAAAAAAAATCATAGAGAAATCCCAAGGTATTTAGAGTTCTACTTGAAAGTGATCAAGTAGTCAGGGACGATACGTTTGGGTGGTACAAACTCTGTGGCAATTTTATATTTTTCAAACATCACACATATGTTTGTGTCTGTATTTATACTCTGAATTAGAAAAACTTACATGGAAATCCCAAGGTATACCAAACACTCAGAGTTCTACTTCAAAGCGATTCTTTGTGGAAAATTGTCTACTATACGAGAAATTATTTAGTACATGAAATTGGTTTCTTTATGATATGTTTTTTAACAGAGAAAGGGAATCGAGGAAGCATAAAATTGTCGTATGGGAAAGAAGAAACTTTGTACTCCATCCGTGCCAAATTATAAGTCGTTTTAATTTTTTTTTATTCATCCATTTGGAACAGAGGGAGTATTCACTTTAGAATCCAGATAAGTCATTGCTTTGATCTTTCCCTCGAGCTTCTAGGGCTCCTATATATCGTAGCTTCCCTTGTATAGGAAAGACACGTCTAGTGGCTATCGAGATCGACACATGGATAACTTTAGTTCAGTTACACGATTTTCACATTTCCACTATGGAATTGAACCCTTTCTCTCCCTCTTCCTTCTTCAGCAAGACACGGGGAGAGAAGGCGTGGCCTCCATGCAGATTCCGTGCAAGTCAGGATCAAGAAATAAATAAACGCCGCGATGAAGTAATATGCTGCCGCATATTTCTATTCTATATTCTTCTAGAAGAAAGGCCTTCGAAATTACTACTACTACCGGAGTGTTGCACATAACATCGATAGTTTTTTTTTTTTTTGAATAGCATCGATAGAATTAGACAAGAACGAATCCATTCAAAATTACCTGGGTGGTGTAGTTCGTAATCACGTCGTGTTACAAACTAAGGTCTCCAGTTCTTTGATGGGTCAAGACACGATGATTTTTTACCTCGTCCGTTTTTTTTTCCTTTTTCTCATGGTCCCTCAATTTTTTCTTTCATCACTTTTCACTAAAAAAAAATCTGTTCTACCTCCTCGAATCATTGTCATCGTTTGATTTTCTCCTCAAGCTCCAAGATCGTACATCTTATCATCTCAACTATCAAATCCGTTTAAACTACATTACTGTCTGCGAACTGAACGTCTGGTAGGGTTCCTTGCTGTGGAATCTGTCCAGCATGGTTCAAGTCCCCGACTTAACACGGGTGCTCGTATTTTCCTGAAATAAGCTATTCTTTCAGTGATAGCCGACATGCCCGTCGACAGTGAGGCGTCTGTAGTGACTTTGTTGATCTCGAGATTTCAAGGCCCAACTCAGTTTTTCGGAGGTGCTCATAAGGGTAGCGTCTCGCAACAAAAAAAATACATTACTGTCTCAGATAGAAGTGGTTCTCAAGACGTTTTTAATACTTTTCTATTTAAAAAGTAGGGCAGTGTTTGGCTGGCTAGAATCGGCTGGCTGGTTAGCTACAGTTTTTAGCCGGAGCAGTGTTTTTTTCTCACAAAATGTCTGCATGAACAGTGTTTTCAAGTATAAACAGTAAATTTCAAGTCCAGCCGAACACTGCCTAGGTCAATACCTGACAGGTTTTTGCAACAAAAAATTACATTACTGTCTCGGATAGAAGTGGTTCTCAAGACGTTTTTAATACTTTTCTATTTAAAAAGTAGGTGACAAGATATTTAAAGCACAAAAAATGTATTTAATCTTCTATAAGCATCTCCAAAAACCTTTCTAAAATCTATTCTCTAAATCATCATTTAGAGAGTCATTTGAGTAAAAATCGTTTTCTATATCTTTGTACCCTCTAACAGCTTTTCTATATCTTGTGCACAGTTTAGAAAGTCATCCTCGCTCTCCATCTTTGACTAGTAAGAAATCCGGAATAGAGGATGTCTATATTTAGATATCCGATTAAAGAGGCCGTTGGAGGATATTTTTTACTAAAATCTATATTTTTGTAAATTAGAAAAGATATAAATAGTCTCTTGGAGATGCTCTAATTTTTTTCTTAGAAATAGATGCCCCCTGAACACTCACAAGTATTTTTTTTGTTTGCATTCTACGAATGCATGTTTGTTGCATATCATACTCTCGTTGTCGCAAGTTCTCAAAATAACATTAGAGTCAATACAATGGTTGCAAAATTTCCATTTTTTGATATATTTTTCTATAGCTAATTCTATTTTTCAAAGCTTACATAGAATTTTAATGAACTATAAATATTTTGTTATTTTTCTTGGTCAATGTATCTCTAACTGTCTTTGGAAATTTTAGAAGCATATAGACTTTTTTGTAGTTTAAAATCTTTATTAGTTTTTTACTAAATTTTTTAACTAGATAATACAAAAGTCTTGATAACTACCTCTAACCTGCAGAGGGATAACTTAAATGGTTATTTTTGAGAGTACAAGGATTACAATGCCCAGTTTTAAAGTCCGAGAACACAATCAATCAAGGAAGTAGACATTTTCTTTTTACTATTTTTCCACTTATCAAAAGGCCTGGGATAGACACCAGAGTTGACGCCGTCCTCTCCCAACCACCGCCGCCCTCTCCACAAGATACCGGCTCGGTCATCCTCCTCTCTCTTAACCGACGATCTCACCGGTGGACAGAGGAGCGGAGACTTGATCCCTTTTCTCTTCATAGATTTAGATTAGGTTTGTTGATCCTTGTTGATCTAATATTTGGTTCTGGTGTCATCAACGAGGTGGTGACGATGATGGTACTTTGTAATAATGTCTCTAGTCTATCTCTACCTCGACGATGTTCGATCTGGCGTCGGCGAAGGACCACTGAGAGTTTGTTCTGTCAGATCTGTTGATCTTCTTCAAATCTTGGCAGCTGATGAGTTGGTTGGCTTTCGATTCGGCGATCTTGACCTCTTCTTTTGGTCTGTTCTACCGCAAGGCTCGAAATCTTCAACACTCTGTTTTGATGGTGAAGGATTGTAAACCTGTGTTCCTTGGAGGATTCCTCTAGCTTATGTTCTTTCAATGCATACTAGATCTCGTCGTCAGCAGCGAGTGGATTTTGCGGTCTTCAAAGCCATGTGTTGGCGAGGGTGTTTGTAGATGGCTGTAGGGTCGAGATGGTGGACTAGAGAGGGTGAATGGTCCTTTTTAAAACTTAAGCGCTATGACTAACCGAAATAAATACAGAATTTAAACTAAATGGTCTAGTCAAGACTACACCCATATTTAAGTTCAAGCACCTTACAAAGATCCTAATTAGGCAACAAAGGTGTCGGGTTAGTTAGAGCTCACCTAACAATTCTAGCTTGCAAAGTCACACAACCCTATGCAACTAATACTTCAAGCAACTAGGGGAGCTCCTACACAGCTAGTGACGCAAAGCGCACAAAGCCTAAACTCACTAGCAATGCTTAATGGCAAGGCTACACAAGGCAAACTAGAGTGTTCAAATTACTTAGCTACACAAACTAAGCAATGTAACTAACATAGCTACTCAAGCCAATTAGCTACGCAAAGGAGCTACTTCTATACTACACAAGCAAGGAAGGTAACAAGCAAGCTAAATAAACTAACTAATTACAAGAGCAACTATACAAGCACAATATACACGATGGCGCACGCATGCAGCGACAGTAGGGCACACAACAGCTGTATTGCGACAACGCCTCGCCACGCGATCGCGCAGCGGCTGCACCAGCGTAGCGCTCGTGTGCACACGAGGTAAGGGCACAGCTCGGACGGACCGACGCGCAGCACGTGCGGTGACGAGACCGCCGTCGGCAAGGTCACGTGCGATGCACGCGTGCGACAGCTCGAGCACCCACGCGCGACGCCGCACACCCGAACACGGTGACCGCACACGGTCCAAACGGCTGCCCTAGGTGACGTGCACACATTTTAAAGCGCGTCTAAAAACTAACCTAACATAGTTGACGCTAAACTACCTCAACCATGCTAACGAGGGTACATCAGTCTACCATAAGGAGCAAAAACACAACATTGATCTTTAGCTAGATTTTTCAGAATTAATTCACCAACATGGCATTGTCACACTGTTTTCAAACTTAAAATTTCTTCCAAGTCTTGAGCTGAATTTGACTTCAAATTCCATTTCCAAGCCATTAGAAATACTAGCTAGTCATATTATTTTTCTACAGTAAGAGTTGCATTGTCATCTACGAAGTTTGTACTTTAAAGTTTATTTAAGTATCACACACATTTTCTATAGTATTTTTGCTTAATAAAAAAATGATTTTCAACACTACTTGATATACATGAGCTATTGAATCAATATTGATTTAACATTTTTATTGATTATTTTAGGCTACAAGAAATTTATCAACACCTTCTATCATATGCATTATTACGTAAACATGATGCTCATGACATAATTTAGTAGTTTGTTTAGGACGTAACACCGAAGGTATTACACAAGCCACCTATTCAAACAATTCTAGTCAATTATGATCTCTAGGCACACTCAAAACTATGTCACTACTTCTAAAAACTAGCGAGCTAACGAGAACTAGTTACAACTAACTAAAACACTAGCTAGCTAACTACTCTTAAGCTACACAAGAGAACTAGCTACACAAGAATGATTACAAATGTAAATACAAGTATAGAGAAGAGTATGCCAATCGTGGCAAGAGACAATCAATCAATTTCAATGAATACCAAGTGAAAATCAATTGAGATAATTAACACATAAGTTTTCTCCCGAGGTTCACGTGCTTATCGGCACGCTAGTCCCCGCTGTGTCGACCGTTCACGTGGTGGTTCGTGAGCTAATAGACATCACACCTAGCCCAACACTTGGGCGCCACAAGAACCTAGACAAATGAGGGTACTCAACGGCACAAGCAATCCACTAAAGATGCTTTTGGCACTCCGCCGGGCCGGGGAATAAGCCCAAGAACCCCCCACAATCTCGATCGGGATACCCACGAACAATCACCAATTCGTGCCAATCACCACAAGCTACTCTAAGCCGTTTAGGTGACAGCAACCACCCAGAGTAACAAGAAATCCCACAACTCACACGATCACTAGTGTCACTAGATGCTCAAACTCTAAGCAAATGCACTAGAATCACTCACAATCTCACAAAGATGATAAATCAATGAAGGAGATAAATGGAAGGTGTTTGACTTAGCTCACAAGGATGTATCAATGATCAAAATATAAAAGAGAGTGAGCTAGAGCCAACCAACACCTATTTATAGAGAAAATTGTTTTTATTTTAGAAAAATGTTGTTATCGCTTTTTGGTTTGTGAAATTGGTATATGTTCTTGTGAAAATGGCTTCTAGCTTCAATAGAAAAATATTCAACCTTAATAAAATATAAAAAGTTTCATTTACTTTTTTAAAATGTACTATATATTTACTAGCCAGTGATAGTGTCCAACGAAGAGAATAGATATGAAATTTCTGTTATGTTATTTAAAACAAATGTTGTACTAACCATTGATAGTGTCCAATAAAGAGAATAGATATGAAATCAACAAGAATAAAAAATTAAAAGAGAGGTAAAGAAAAATAAAAAAAAACATAAATTTTCAAAGAAACTGAAAAACGGCCCACAAGAAGCCATAACCTGCATTCCCCCTTTCCGTCCGCTGCATCCCCTCTTCCCTCCTCGTTCTCTCTCTCTCTCTCTCTCTCTCTCTCTCTCGCTACCCTCTCGCTCTCAGACGACTATTGGGCCGCCGCCGCCCTAGGCCAGGTGCTGAGGCTTTCGTTGGTCTCTTCGCCGGCGACGAGCACCCACCAGGTACTCCCACACCTTCTCTTCCCTTCCCTTATGCTGTGCGAAGCTGAGCACCGAAACCCTAACCTAAAGCTATTTAGCTATTTGACAAGCCTCCTAACTTCGAAGTTTTTGCAAAAATTATTGGGTGTACATGTGTACACCCATGTCCCTTCACTGGATCCGCCCCTGGGAGGAGGCACAAGGCCGTCCGCTTTTGTCGGCGTGGACCGCTCGCTTCCACTGTCTCGATTGAAGTTTGATGCGTGATTAGTAGCTCATAGTCTGATTTCGCGTCTTTTTTGCCTGATTTTGGTTCACGGACTAGTTTACTGACTGTCAAGTCAGCTGAGGGCTTATGCAGTCACTCTCCTTTTTATCCAGGAGAAATGTCTGAGCATCTCTTCGAGGACACCTTCGTCGTCACTAGGCTCGACCCTGATGGCAAAAAGTTTGATAGAGGTAAATTCTTTCTTTCTAAAATCTGAACCAATAACAAAGGTAACTTCTGAATGAGCAGCAAGGGTTCCTCCTTTTTTTAGTACTGTGTACTGTGTTATAGCATGGAGTATGTAGCTGTGGTAATAGTGTAATGACAATTACAACTGATGATTCTTAGTTTAGTTTGCCTTGCTCATATCAGTAATTCAGTATCGCTCATGGTTTAGTAAGATTTCACCATCTGGATGCTCATGGTTCTGTTAGAGGGGGGCGTGGGGGAAGGCTTCAGACACATTTTTGGTCCCATCTAGTCTAAGCATAATAGGCAATGGAATTGCATTAATAATGAGAACGCGGATCATGTACTCTGATACCTATAAGCTGTTTTCCTGATATTTTGTTGCACCATGTGCTTGTTGTGTAATTGGAGGTTGAAACTATCATGAAATACCTTCCCAATATTCACACTGCAATCCATGCTGTCATATTTTGAGAATCTTCTAATGATAAGGACTTTTTGCTGGGTAATAATGATTATAAATGTCTTTTGTAAACCTGATTGAAACAACTCTTTCATATTGTTTTTGTCCTGAAAATCTCTTTCTTCTGCTATCTGAAGTACATTCCTGTAGGACATACTATTAAAATCTAAAGGTGCACTCTGTATCGAAATAATATGCATGCAATCATTGAAATTTATCTAAAGGTTCTTATCTTGAAATATTTCACTGTATAGCGTATCATTCATCTATCCACCACTTCTTTTTCATTTTATATAGCTTCCGTTGATATTATGAGTTAACTAACTATGCTCAATTGCTAGCCTTGTTCTAGTATGACCTTGTGCTCATGTTCTGTTCTTCTCTTGCATGTGTACAGTTTCTCGTGTCGAAGCTCGCAGTGATCAGTTAGATATGTATATGCAGCTAGATGTTGCTACTGATGTTTATCCTATGCTTGCTGGTGAGAAATTTAACATGGTTTTAGCACCTACTCTGAATTTGGATGGCACTCCAGATACTGGATACTATACACAGGTGATTAACTTAGCCGTTTTGTGAAATTTGCATCATGCAACTTGAATTTTAATGATATTGACTGATGCAATGCAGCATCCAGTTAATACTATGTCTTGGGTTCATATGATATCCTCAATGTGCTTTGGGTCTATATGATACCACCAATGTTCCTTGTTGCAGGATTCCATTTTAGCTGATGAGGTTTGTAGATAAGATCTAATTAACATAAACTATCTATTTTTCAGGCTGGTAGAAAAACTCTGGCAGACAATTATGAGTACGTCATGCATGGGAAGCTTTACAAAATCTCAGAAGACACCTCCTCCAGCCAAAATGCTAAAGTGTATGGTTTTCTGCTTTTCCTTAAACTGAAAACTAGCAAACAGTGTAGCAATTTGCACCTTTTGATGCACTAGAATTTATTCTATTAGCATGTGAGTATTTGATTCACTTGTTACATGCTACTATGTATTGTGTATTAATATTTTTATCCTATTGGTGAGCTCTTCCAGTATATGATAGCTCATGGATCCACTATTGATTTCTGAACTAAGGATTGAAGGATTTCCACATTGTTTTACCTTATCAAAGTGAACACAACCACTATAAAGCTTATAATGTTATTCATGGTACTGAAGAAATTGTAGCCATATATTCTGATGAAGCCCATATGACAATCTCGCTTGTGAGAGAATTTGATTCTGCAAAGTACTTTTGAACATCAAAAGAGCTTGATTCGGATATCCCATTAATAATGATTTTATCTGCATATTATTTTCATCTGATAATAGCATTACTTGCGTATAGATATAGAAAAGTCCTTCAAGGACTTCAATGTCTTATCTTGGTAAGAAAGGAATAAAATGGCTTCAGTTGATTTGTTTGAAGTTTAAACCTGAAATGTCCTCATTTGATTTCTTTAAAGTTTAAACCTTCATTCATATTATTGAGAATTGAATCTTCTTTTGTATGTGCAGTTCTTTTTAAAGTAGGTGTTGTCTTTCTCACGTGGTACTTTTTTCCCCTTTCAGGGAGATTTATGCATCATTCGGTGGTCTCCTGATGCTGCTCAGGGGTGACCCTTCCACTGCTGCTAGCTTTGAGCTGGATCAGAGGCTCTTTCTACTGATGCGCAAGGTGTAAAACTACTGCTGAATGTGACAACTTCCAAAAATATCCTTGCGCTGATCCTTCACTTAATCGCATTGGGGGCTATGGGTGTTTGGCCTTGCTCATACTTATTTAACTTCCATCCATGGTTCCTGACCTTGACTCCATGGGTGAAACTTGTTATATACTGTCACGAGTACTGTTTTCTTTCATTATGGATTCATGGTAATGAGTTCCCGTTTCTTGTCAAAAAGACTGATGTGCATAGGGGGCGTTTGGAACCCGACCTGAACTCGGGCGCTCAACCAGACATGTCGATCCAGCCCTAGGTGTTGGAAATCGACAGCCTGGGTGAGCTGCATGGCCCAGGCGCGATTTCCAGTTCTAGAATCAAATAGGCCCTAAATGAGATCCGTGTGAATGTACGACATAGTCGGGCACCAGTCTATCCGAGAGACATTTAACTTTTGTGTTGCTAAGTTTTGTGCTGTGAGCTTGTGTTCGTTATTTTGAATAGTTTAGGACCGTGGCTTTGACGCGCATGATTTGTGTTCTCCGTTTCGTTTTCGTCGCTCCTACCCATACAGTATAATATAACGCTGAATAGATAATCTGTGCAAGTGGCGTAGCCGGTGGATCTGTCTCGGTATTCTACTGCCCCCGTTTTGAAACGAAGTACAATGCTGAATAGATAGATAAATATATGTCTGCAAGTGGCCTAGCTGGTGGATCTGTCTTGCTATTTTACTGCCTTCATTTTGAGAAATGGACAGCCGATCCTTAAACTTGGTTCAGGAGTCAGGATGCCATTTAGGTACTTAAACTTCCAAAAGTTACATTTAGATCCCTGTGACCAAAAGACGAGTTAATCTGTTTGAGTAATTATTAAGTTTTGGTGAATTCGACCCCATGTGAAATGATGAGTAAGATTAGGAACCTGGATAAGCATTTTGAAAGTTTGAATATGGAAGACACTAAGAGACAAATTCGAGGCCAGAAGGTGTTTCTTACTCTTTCTTTTGAAGAAATGCATGGGTTCATTATTATAAGAAAAAACCGCATGGGTGAATGATACTCTTTAAAAGGGCGTACCCAGTGCAGAGAGCTCCCGCTCTGTGCGGGGTCTGGGGAAGTGTGTTAGTGACAAGTCTTACTATCGCCTGTGCAATGCGAGGAGACCACGACTTAAACCCGGGACCTTCCGGTCTCTTTGTGGGATAAAATTTGAATGCTAGAATGATATTCTTAAGAGGATGGAGGGAGTATTTCACGCTTCCTTTGAAATGCATGGGTCCTTAATTATAACAAAAATGCATATGCATAGGTAAAAGTGAAATGGTCTTCGGTATATCTACCAGCTGATGGTACTGCTTGCTAGTCACTCGGTCACTCCACTCAGTCCTAGGAGTACGCGGCTGCGCCTCAGTTCAGCCATGGCAATGCCGCTCCACCTCCTCCTCGCGCTCACCGCCATCGCCACCGCCGGGCGTAGCAGCAGCAGCATCCGCTTCCACGGCCGAGCACATCCTGGGCGTCAACTACGGCACTCTGGGCGACAACCTCCCGCCGCCGCAGCGCGGGCTGGAGCTCGCCCGCTCTGCGGGGGCGTCCGCCGTCCGCTTCTACGACTCCAACGCCACCATGCTCGCCGCGGCCGCTGCCTCGGGCCTGGAGTTCGTGCCGAGCGTCCCCAACGAGCTCATCCCGTCGCTCGCGGCCTCCCAGCGCGCCGCCGACGCCTGGGTGGCCGCCACGCTGCTCCCGTGCCGCGGCAACCCGCGCCTCCGGTACCTGTTCGTCCGCAACGAGGTCCTCTCCGACCCCACCGCCAGGTCCCGGTGGGCCCGGCTCGTCCCGGCCATGGCCAACGTCCACCGCGCGCTGCGCCGCCACGGCATGGGCCGCGTCAAGGTCAGCACCACGTTCAGTATGCACGAGCTGGAGGGCCAGAACGTGTTCCCGCCATCCGCCGGCGCGTTCAGGCTCGACATCGCCGGCGCCGTCGTCCGCCCGCTGCTCGCCCTCCTGGACCGCACCGGCTCGCCCCTCTTCATCGACGCGTACACCTACTTCACCTGGTCGGCGAACCACACCGTGGTGCCGCTGCCGTACGCGCTGCTCGAGCCGGCGTCCGGGTACGTGTACCGCGACCCCGGGACGGGGCTGTCGTACACCAACCTCCTGGACCAGATGCTCGACGCGGTGGTGGCCGCCATGTGCCGCGCGGGCCACTGCGGCGTCGGGCTGGCGCTGGTCGAGACCGGGTCGCCCACGGTGGGGGACCTGGACCAGTTCAGCGCCAACGTGCGGAACGCGGCCACGTACAACCGGAACCTGGCGCGGCACCTGGCGTCCGGCGCCGGCACGCCGCGGCGGCCGCGGGCGCGCGTGGCGCCGGCGATGGTGTTCGCGCTGTTCAACGAGGACCTCAAGTGGGGCCCGGGAACGGAGCGGCATCGGGGCCTGTTCTACCCCAACGGCAGCGCGGTGTACGAGGTGGACCTCACGGGGCGCCGCCCGCTGGCGTCGTACCCGCCGCTGCCGCCGGCGTTGAATAACCGGCCGTACCCGGGTCCCCTGTGGTGCGTGGTGGCGACGGACAAGGGGCCCGTGAACGAGACCGCGGTGAGGGCGCAGGTGGCGGCGGCGTGCGCCGACGTGCCGGGGCTGTGCGACCCCGTGCGCCCGGGCGGCGCGTGCTTCCTGCCGGACACGGTGAGCGCGCACGCCAGCTACGTGTTCAGCGCGCACTGGAACAGGTTCAGCGAGGACTACGGCGGATGCTACTTCGCCGGCTTCGCCGTGGAGACCACCGTCAATCCCAGTCAGTACCTGCTTCCATTTTCCTCGGCCTTATTGTATTATTCAATTATTAGTCTTCGTGTCAGCGAGGAATATATAATTAATGAATGCTCTTTGTTTATCTCACCAAATTTTAAAATTTTCACTCATGTGGCTTGAATGTTTTTTTTGTTTTCTTTTTCCAGGCCATGGATCATGCAAGTTTCCAAGCATTCTACTGAAATGATGAAGGGTCTTCGCTTGACATCTCATGGAAAATCCCTGGTCGAGAACTGGTTGTCCTTCACTTCACGTTGTTGCCTCCCGTTTCATTCCATGTTTTCCGGATTTAATTTGCTTAACGCAAATCACATGTCCATGTTCGTTTTTTCTTTTTTCACAGAGTTCTTGTGCTCATGTATCGCAGTTGGATTGATCCCGAGCAATAGGTTCTCTCACACATATTGCTCTCACCATCGAGCATCAATAAAGAAAAAAGAGAAAGGGTAGTTTCACAAATGAAGTATTGTTTCCTTGTATCATATTCGTTAAGACAGTGAAATTATAACGGCGTGACCTAAATACAACATTTTCCTATGTTCTTGTTCCATGCTAGATCTAGAAACTCTAAACACATCTATCCTATTTTTTTCATCCCAAAAACATATAGTTTTGCAACTTCTAAAAAGATATTAGGAGAAAAAAAGAAGATCATCTTCAAGAGATTTCAATAAACCACTCCTAAAATATAGAAGATAATTTTACATTAGGAATCATATACTATTTCTAAGTTATCGTAACCACTTTTATATATTCTTTCTCTCTCTCACATTTGCATTAGGAACCCTTTTCTACTCCTTATTCTTTCTCACACCCTTTCATCTTTAGATTGACCAGCAGTATCCGTGCGACCGCGGCTATGTGCAAAGTTACGCGCGACGGGGGAGGATTTCCCAAATACCTAAATTTTAGGAGCATGGATTAGGAGTTGTTGGATAATGGTTTTTCTCGTCTTGCTAAAAACTAAGAATTGGGAAGGGAAATAGGGGGGCGATGCTCACGGCATAAACACATCATTAGAGAAATTATCATCGGGACAGAATCACCGGCGATCAAGTTTTACGCCTGGCCTAGATGTGTGGTGTGGACCACACAAAATCGGCATCTAGTCCTGCTCCATGCTTACAAACTTCGTTGGATATATCCACACCGAGCATTTTTTTTTGTATCATCCATACCTTGACCACGACCTATGATATGAGTTTCTCCATGGTTTTTTTACGCAAATTATCGATAAATCTTGACAAAGGCCGGCAACAAAAAGGAGAATTCATAGTCTTCTATAAAGAATAATAAGGGGATGAAATAGAGAGAAAAAGAGACCTGATGATGACATATGTTGTCTCAGGTGGTAGCCAAGAGTGCTTTTGGATCCTCTTAGTATGAGTTATGGTGTTGGGGTGGCCAGCTATGAACCCACCACCATAGTCTGGGATGTTTGTTGGAATTGGATCTCCGACTATTTATTTTTAGATCCGAAAACTAGGATTTAGAGCCGGCAATGGAGATTCTAGGTGTAAGCTAGGGTGCCGGAATGGCCAACCGCGGCGGCGAGCTATTTTGTTCATAGTCGGTGGTGTAGTATACACGGGGAGACAACAAGAAGTATGTTTTTAGGAGCGAATAAAAGAGAAATGTTGATGGGGTGTATTCTTTTGTACCCAATGCTTAAAGGTTCCAAAATGAAGATTTTAGGCCTCAATTTTTTAGATATTGTTAGAGATGCTCTAAGAGACCTAACAGAGTGTCATAAAAGTCACAAGAGATATTTGTCCTATTTTTTAGCAGTACTTTTCAGCGAAGGAATAATATTTTTCTCTCACAACAAATCAGCATCAACAGCAGCCAAATTTCAACAAAATCAACAGGGCCATTATAGTTATTTTATAAACTAGATATTTATACATGCAAGAAATTCTATATCTAGAGCGAGAGATATGTCGAGACATCTAAATAATTTGTTTTATCACTTTAACTTGACCTATAAACTACGACCCTATTGGCAGGGCTTTTGTTGTGGCTTCTCCACCGGTTTAACAAAGCTGTACCAAATAAACTAGATATTTATACATGCAAGAAATTCTATATCTAGAGCGAGAGATATGTTGAGACATCTAAATAATTTGTTTTATCACTTTAACTGTACCTATAAACTACGACCCTATTGGCAGGGCTTTTGTTGCGGCTTCTCC